TTTATCTGGAGTGGCAGATGTGCCTGGCAGATAGCATCTGTGTCTGAACATGGGACTCCTTCCACAGACATCTTAAGGGGCCTTAATGCTGGACTATCTCCTCTCCACAGAACTTAGCCTCCCCATTTTGCAGGAATTTCATTTGTCTCTTCTACCCTGTAGTACTTGGTTATTACAACCTTCCAGACCACTACCACACGCCACTCTCTAACAGATAATGGTCTCTTAAAAACACCCTTTGGCAGTTTTTATTACGGTTTCCAGAGTAGTTGATCTTTTTTGTCTTTCTTTATTGGAATATATTATCTGTTCTCATAAGATTTAAGCTGCTTAAAAACTGAGGGGGAAAAAGAGAAAAGAAAGCAAACACAGCTACCCGTTTCTGGTGGATACACACGTTGTTTTGAGCAACCTTCTATGAACTACGAAGACAGAAGAAAGTTCTTCAGTTCTAACCTAATATACCAACTTGAAAAACAGTTGCCGTAACCTAAAATCAAGTTTTCCTCTCTTTCTTTGAAACCAAAGGAGCATCTGAACTCATTTGTTGATGCGTACTGATCTGTGACAGCAGTTTGCAGAGACTTACTTCTGACATGGCCTTACACGAACTCAGATTCCCAAAGAGATGTACAATCTAAATAGAAACAAAGCGTGCAGCTGACACTGTTAATAGTTTTATATTATATGGAATTACATTAAGAATAATAATAATAAAATAATGATGATGATGATGATGATGATGATGATGATGATGTAAACAAAAGGTTAAAACAGGAAAAAAACCCTGCATCTATTTAGTAGGTTGCCAAGAGGCCAGGGGCAGTAAGCAGATTATCATGGCACAAGTGGGATCTGAATGACCAGGTAGCTGCTATGGAGATGATTTACCAGAAAGATGGTGCTTACAGAATGAAAGAATAAACAAGTGACAGCGGTTGCCAACATCTGTGGAGCAATAAAAAAGGTCACTTGGCAAGTGAGAGAGGGGCCCACAGGAAGGAGCTAAGTTTTGAAGTGCTCTGAAGACAACATATATTCAGAACTTCTGGAAAAGCAGAGAGTGAGTAACCTCAAAGGATGACTAAAGGAAAATGCGAAGGCCAATTTCAGAAGCATGGGTATCTCTGTACTCATTCCATGTGTGACAGAAATATACCCTTATAGTTCTTGAGACTTCAGTTTTCATTGTTGAAAAACAATGTTGACTCAACATGACTAAGAACAGCCTGAGATGTCACACGGGAAAGTAACAGAGAAGTAAGAAGTGAAAAAGAGTATCATATTTAGAAACCCTGTGATAAGTCCGATATGATATCATATAAGTGTCGTATGAGCAAATAATGACGGGAGGTGCAGCGTCAACCGTAATGGAGTCATCAGGAAGAGGAAAATAAGGGCCAGGCAGATGTGAAAAACAAGGTGTTTTTTTTTTTTAAACAGGGGGAAATGTACCTAAGCATTTATGTCTGGACAGAAGGAATGCTTAAGGAATTACACTGGACCAAGGGGAGGCAATAAGCTATAAAGCTGGAAATGGGCTCACAGCACTCAAAATGTGCAGAATTAAGCAGGAGTAGGCAACAGTTGGATGGCATGAGCCAAAGGTCTTTTTTAAAAATTTTTAACTATTGTTATGCTGCTACTAAAGCAAGCTCATAACTGCAAAGGGAATGGGTTTAGAAAACCAAAATCTGAGCCTAATGACGAGGGTGAAATCAGTGGGACCAGGAGGCTGGGCGCCTGCTCTTCCCATGAGTTTGCTTGCCAGGGGTGACAAACCACTTGCTCCATGCTCCCTCCCCGCAGGACCAGGGACAGACAGTGCTACTGTAAAAAGAAAAAGCCACCCCTCTTCCAACTGACCTACTCTTGCTTTTTCATTTGTACTTTAAACATCCAAGACAGGGTTATATTCAATGCTACTTTATATCAGTTATTCTTGTTATTTAGTCATGGCTTCTTTCACATCATACTGCACTGAATTAACTACATTATAAAATGGAACCGATATCAATTACAAACATACCACCCGCCAAACTGGTCAATGATTGCACCACAAAGACATAAATGATAGGGTTGGAAGGGGCCTGTTTTTCAGCCCAGCACCCAGTATCAAGCAGGATTTTCTTCTCCACTAATGTTAAAAGCATTTTATCTGAGCTGTATCATTATACTATAAACAGCAGCAACTCAGCACCTGCATAAGGAAAGTCTATTCTGAAACCTACTTTCCTGCACTGCTGCATTTTTTTTCCCTTCACATCTAACCTGGGCAATCTAGTTTTACTTTTCTGTATATCCAGCCAACAAGCCTTCTGTTAATCCCTATGGCATGTACATAAGCTAGTAAGCCTAAAAACATGTCATGTTACCCAGACTGCGAGGTAACACACTTCATTCCCTTGCACTTGAGAGTTCAGAGTGTATTCCCCTTGAGGTACAACTAACTGCAGGTATGCTGTTTTCCAGAATTACCAATCATCCATTATTTAAATTTTTAAGAATTAATCCATAAATAATAATTAGCATGTCACTTTCAAAAAGCACCTTACAAACTGATGAGTAGCTTACAATCCACTAAGTCATGGTTTATGCATATATTTAACACTTCTGGCCAAGCTTTTCTGTTTTCTCAATCTTGATCTGAAGCAAACCTGTGCCATCCAGCAAAGCTCTACATAGTGCTCAGCCTTCCCCTATGCAGCACCCTCAGATTTCAGTCTCTGTAGAAATTAAGAGATCCTGTGGGAACTCTAGAAGACCTGATGAAGGTAGGAGTCTTAGGCCTGTTTAGAGACTTACCTTCTTGGCAACAGCTTTATTAGCTACGTATGGTTTATAACGATATTACAGCTTGTGAAAACACATATTCAGAGGTTAGATAATCTAGATGAGAGCTATCTCACACATAGATGATAACAGAGCAAGTAGACAAATCATTTATTGTCTAAACAAAAAAATCTGCAGAGCAAGAGATAGTGCTACAGCTGGATAAAGGTTTGGGGTTTTTTTAAGTCAAATAAAACAATCAGAGCATAGAATGGTCACGCTTGAAACTGTTAACCAACCTGCTCTGCAACTTAGTGCTGCATTATGAATGCAAATGTCGGAAAAAACCCTGACTGCAGCTATGGACTCCGTAATACAACTAAGCAGCACTTCATTTTTTTTCCTCATTTTAATTGAAGACCACTTTACACATCTTTTCTAAAATAATCTTTGCCACCAAGTGCTCTTAACTTTTTGTGCAGTGTTATAAGATTTTCTTAAGGACTTCATGCAAATTTTTATCTAAATAAAACCATGTTCAATTTTTATGACATGTAAAGAAATTGGCTTTCAGCCAAGTATCAGAACTCTGAAAGTACTTCTGCACTAACACCTTTCCTACTTTGCTGTTTCGCCAGTGAACTTATGATGATTAAAGTTCTTCTAAAGTTTTGAGGCAGCAAAGACTTGATGCCACAGTTTGTAACACAGTTATCCATAGCACATACGCAATTCTATCCGTGGACTACGTATCAAATAGGAACATAGGAATTTTCTGCCATTTGGGAGTTGCAGTGGTTTTACAGTATTCATAATGAATTGTTAAATACAAACCAAGAAGCACAGACCTTGCCTAAAAAAAACAAACTGCAGTCAGATAGAGTAACTCAACACAAACTGAGTAACCATTTTTAGCATTTCTCTGGTACTTATTCCATAAGCACCTACTTAATTTTTAATTAAGGGATTTTTCATTGGTGTTTATTTGCTATGGAATAAACATAGAATCTCTAAATAGAAGACAAATTATTTCGAAAAAGTAAGGCAGCTCTTGGTTTTGGTTGACAGTATCGGTTAAAAATATACTTTGAAGGTAATAACTTTAGTTCATTAGTCTGAGGAGTTTCCATATAAACAACAGAACAACCACAGTACAAAATTCAGTATGGGATAAATTATCAACCTGCAGTTCAAAAACTCTTTCAAGAAATGATCAAGAAAATTAAAGTTGTAGAGAATATACACACGTCCATTAATTGCGAGTGACATGCCAAAGACAAATTTTTCGAAAAAGTAAGGCAGCTCTTGGTTTTGGTTGACAGTATCGGTTAAAAATATACTTTGAAGGTAATAACTTTAGTTCATTAGTCTGAGGAGTTTCCATATAAACAACAGAACAACCACAGTACAAAATTCAGTATGGGATAAATTATCAACCTGCAGTTCAAAAACTCTTTCAAGAAATGATCAAGAAAATTAAAGTTGTAGAGAATATACACACGTCCATTAATTGCGAGTGACATGCCAATGCTCTTGAGAACAATCGTCAACTTTGCAAAAAAGGAAACAGAATGGAATCCATAATACCATCACAAAATGAGGCTCACATCACAATGCCTTTTCACAACACCAAAACAATCTCCAAATTCAAAGTAAATGCTCAGAAACTTTTCTTCCTAGCTTGTATTACAAGCTAGCTCACCTTCGCAAGCAGGACAAGCACCTGTGCGCTTCATAATACATTAATTTTTAAATACTGATTGTTTAGGATGTATGGCCTATAAAAATGAAACCTCAGAGCTACATATTCTCATCCCAGGTTAAAAATAAAACCCACGCTCTTAAACGAGAGCTGCTGATTGCACTTGCAGGGAACGGAACAGCCTCTCCAATGCCCCCAGAGAACCCCAGCGCAGATGACAATACCATAACAAACCTGTGCGCTCCAGCAGCCCGTATATTTTAAGTAGTAAATCTGAAACCCAGAGACTAAACTGAGCTGGATCCAACAGCTCGCTCCCCTCCGAGCGGAGCCTCTCACTTCTAGAAGCTGGCTGTAAACAGGGAAAGGGAGGGGCCTGCCGCCTGCCAAGCCAAGCAGAAACTTGTGAGTAACTTATAGAGGAAAAACAAGTGCAGCGCAGGCAGACGGGCAGGGTAGCACGCTGCCCGGGCGCTGGCGAGAGGCGATCACCATGTTTTCAAGGGGAAGCCAGGCAGGGCTTTGCAGCCGGCTGCCTTCCTCAGCAGCGCTGCTTCTCAAACGCGTGCGGATCCGGCAGCGCGGAGGAATGTAAAGCGCGAATTAAAGGTAAGAGGCTTTACAGCGACGCTGCTGGGGCTGGGGCCGTGGGAAAGGCGGGCTGGAGAGCGAGCGGCGGCTGGCAGGACGCTCTTTCCTTCCACGTTTTAAGTCCTGATTTTAATTCTCCATGTGATAAAAGTATAAAAGCAGACAAGACCAGGGGAAGCATTAGGGAAGGCTGAGTCAGCCCGCAGTAAACAAGAGGACTGCAGCATTCACTTATGCAACAGAGTCAACCTGGGACTGCAAAACTACTTTTGACTGGAGAAGGGGTTAGTTTAGATCGATCGAGTAAAACTGCTGCATCCGAAGCTTCGTAAGGATGTCCCCAGACGTGGTCCGTGGAGACAAAACTGCCTTTAAAATGACAAAAGACATGGCTGGGTGAGAAGTGCTGAGCTGGGCCTGTACAGCACAGCAAACAGGTTCAGTGCCTTCGCAGGTAAGTGACAATTAAAAATGGGCGATTTCTACGTTAGTGGCAAAAATACCTCATCTGGTAATTTAGAAGTCATCAAAAAATGTCTTCAGAAAGTATTTTTATTTTGGATTTTATTTTTGCTCATTTCGGAGGTAAGTTTCGTAATTTCGTAAGATTACTACTTAATACAATGAATTGCCTACAATTTCTATCATTAAAATGGAATTGTCTTATTTAACTGCATTTAGAGGACATAAAGAAGAAAGGGGTAATTACTAAAAACACTTGTGAAACCAGACATCCCCCTACTCTATAAAATATAAAGCGTCGTAGCAAAGACTGCTGATCTTCTGAGACAATATACAGGCAAGTATTCTGTGGCTGATGTAATTCAATCTGGAGTCATCAAAGCTACATGCTTAAGGATAAACCTACATAATGGAATTACGTGATTGTACCCATGCCTGTGCTTAGTCACCCTTGCACTCACTGTAATGCATACATTCGCAATATCTAGTTCCAGTCTGCTGCTTTGGTTGAATCAAGTCATAACAGTTCAATGAGATGTAATTTTGGTTGCCTTCAACTGTGCAAAACAGCTTTTCTTTAAAAAAAAAAAAAAAAACCTAACCAAAAACAAAAAAAACCACCACACACCAAAAAAACCCACACACCTCAAAACCTAACCAAAAACAAAAAAAACCCACCACACACCAAAAAAACCCACACACCTTTCTTAAACTTAAAACAACAGATGCTTCCTGAAAATAAACTGGGTTGTTTTCAGTGCTCGAAAATAGTACGAGGATTGAAAGACAACATAAAGATATCATACTTCCTACTCAGATGCAATACTACAGCTAAAGAACTGATTTGAGAAAACAAAAAAAAGTAAGTTTTTCAACAAAGGTGAAAGAAAGCTTTGAAAACAACAGAACTGCATCTTGTGCTACTGCCACAGAAGCCACTTATCTGAGGAAATCCAACATAGGACAGTGGAATAAAAATTTGTTTGCCCAGCTAAAATTACTGTATTTTTAGCCTGATATCTGGCACGGGCTATGGTATTTAGAAAAAAATGCACACAAAACAACTGCAATGGGAAATAAAGAAATGGAAGTTGACATGATTCTGGAACAAATTCTGTACTATGGCTGAAGTGTCAAAGGATTAGCACTAGAGACGCAACCACGTATCCATATGCTTACAAAACCCATACTGTATAGTTTAGCCGTATGGTTCATAGAGTATAGCATGTTGTCTAGTAACATTCATTTTAATTGCACAGTGTTTATTGTGGATTTGATTAAATCTTGTTCCCTGTCTGGAAAGAATGCAGGGACGTGTACTTGTACTTCCCTATATGTGCTAAATGGGAAGAACACAAAACAACGCTGAGTATCTGACAGGATCAGAGTACACGTGACAGGGGAAATCACCTGCTGCATAAATTCTACACTGTCCCAGAAACGGGCTGGCACAAATAGCTACCGTGATTTTAAGGCTGTGAATGTTTTCACTTGTACTTTAGAGATTACTTATTTCCGCATTTTGGAAAGAGACGTTTCATGATGGCTTTGAAGTTCACTGATTTCAGTTAAAATGTTATCTCTTTACTGATGATTAAAGCAAAGATAGCTGGACAACAACTACTGATACTAGCATACTTTTTAAAGAATTCAAGCTATTTTGAGAGGAAATGATAGCTAATTCTTGCCTTTTTGGAAAGTCAGGCTGCTCTGATATTAGGTTCCCTAGACTACAGAGGTCCATTGTTTTTTCAGAACTAAATGGTTATAGGCTGGAAGTCTGAATATAAAATGACCTATGAAAAAAAAAAAAAAAACCAAACACCTTTCACCTCATTTCCCAGTTTCCTCTAGTCTTTGTCAATTTTATCAGTGATCCAGTATACATTCACTATACTACCTTGGATGTGCCTCCTAAGAAAATATCTTTTCAAGAGAAAGCTTATTTAACACCTTAGAGAACTCTATTCTCCATCTTATTGCTAAGATTTGTGCTTCAGCTTATATCCTTCAATTCTTCAGCAACTACCCTTATATATTATTAGCTATATAAAAGATACTGTTCAATAATTTTAAAAAACATTGTACTAATCTTCATGTATATTACACTGGTACTTATTTTAAAGATATACATTTTATGATTTAATTTTGTTGCGTCCTGTATCAACTCATTTGCCACTAATTTCATTTAAATTAAAACTTCAGAACATTTACTAGTCTCATGAAATTTTGAATCACAGATGACTTTCTTGTAGACTAACAAGATCAAAAGGCATTTCAGTCACTGACCTTAAATTGATCAGTTACGTGAAGGGTATAATCTCTATCTTTAAAATGTTTTCTTCATACTACATTGCATTTCACTTACAGTATAATATTTCAACAATACTTTCACTATTTCTCTTTCTACAGAAAAGCTGGTAACCAGCAGAGAAGATACAAAAGCTAAAATCACTATGTGGAGCTGTGAAACCTTAAACAACAGTACCGAGAACAGTGAGGACCAGCATCTCTGCTATGACTTCCACCTTGTGCTTTCCATCTTTTCCCTACTCTACCTCATTATATGTTTCCCAATTGGCCTTTGTTACAATGGCTTGCTGGTCCTAGTTAATCTCTATAACAAAGCTACTATGACTATGCCAGATGTTTACTTTGTCAACATTGCCATTGCCGGTCTCATCATCAACGCTCTGGCACCAATGTACCTTCTAGGTCTTGCCAATACAAAATGGGCCATCTGGAATTCTAACAATGAAGTTTATATTACCTTACTTATTTTATTCAACGTCTCATCTTTAGTTACCATGTACTCTACTACATTACTCAGTCTGGACTACTACATTGAACGTGCTCTACCTAGAACTTACATGTCAAGTGTGTACAACACCAAACATGTTTGTGGATTCATATGGGGTGGTGCCATGCTTACAAGTTTTTCATCTCTCCTGTTCTACGTCTGCAATCACGTATCCACTAAAATAATTGAATGTTCCAAGATGCAGAACAAAGAAGCAGCAGATGCCATTATGGTCTTTATCGGGTATGTTGTACCAGCTATCGCTGTACTGTATGCACTTATATTAATCTTGCGAATACGCAAAGAGGCTACACCACTGGATCAAGACACTGGACGATTAGATCCATCGGTGCACAGGCTTTTGATTGCCACAGTCTGTACACAGTTCACGTTATGGACACCCTATTATGTTATTCTCTTGGTAAGCACATTTACTAATGCACAAGGAAGAATTTCAGATGACAGTTACAGTCGAATATTACATTTTACCAAGATTTTATCAAAATTCTTGGCTTTCTCAAGCAGCTTTGTAATGCCTCTGCTCTACAGATACATTAACAAAAACTTTCCCAACAAATTACGACGTTTGCTTAAAAAGATACACTGTGGGAATCAAGGGTGTTCTCATGAACGCACAGTAGTGCAGCAAGTTATGACGTAGGTATGAAAAAACACTCTGGTGCTCTGTTACTGCAGTACTTAACATACCAGTACTGGGACTGTGATATTGCTGTGTTGGCACTCAGAGTCATTAATGTGAGAGTCCCAACCAAGAGGCTGGAAGGAGCTTTCCATTACAGTTAAATGAAACAGTCTTAATTTTCAAATAGTTAATTGTTTGCCGAAATCTTGTGAGACTGGCCTATGTGCTGTAATACCTGTGACATCTAATACTTTCAGTGCACTGAATTGGTTACAGAGCAGACACTCGTGTCTTCATCGTTCTAATATTCCTGTCTGAAGAAATCACTAAGCAGTTTATTGAAGTCTTGACTGAAGACACAGCACCTTGTATTTTGTATAGAAAAAGGTATTGCCTTATTTTCTGTACAAAGAAGTAACAGTGCTATCCTTGATGAAGTAAATAGCATTTTTCAATGAAGATGATATAGATGATCTCTACTAAAGGTCATATTATCCAATTATACATGTCCAAGTAGTAAATGTTAATTATAAATTAAATTATTTAATTTCTTTCTCCATCAATGATTCCCCTCTAAAAGAAGCCTAATTTACCATTTTCAGAAATTATTTTCTCGCACGAACTAACCTAAGTTTTAACGTCTATGGTAAATTCCTTTTTTTCTAGATATAACAATTAACAAAAATGTGTTTTATTTTTCCAGTGCTTTGTTTGCATCCTAAAACATTTCAAGAATTCAGAAATATTTATTAACTAATTCTAAGGGAACTGAGAAATGTTTGTTCCACATATTAAAATGAAGGACACAGTGGTTTACAAAGCTAAATCAAAATTTAACTAGTAAAGAATGTCTGGCTAAGTGTTATGGTCCACATATGTTCATGTAACAAGAGTAATTATCTTAAAAATAAATATGTTTATGAAAAACATTTTGTATTTTCAAGGGATATGTTTGCAACGAATAAATTAAAGTCTCTTTAATCTAGGGCATCACTGGAGGTTTGGAAACCATATAAAATCCCTCAATACATAGAAGATTTTAAAATGGGAGTAATATATAGGAATCACAGTCAGCATCAGTTCTTTGCTGACCGCTCAGAAATGGAGTGCCTCCCAGTGTCATTCTTGAATACACAATAAAAGTATAGTTTCTGTATTTCACAGTGGGGATGAAGAAATCCAATCCAGATTGCCAAATTTTACTGAGCATATGAAATACATAAGAAACACAAACATGCTGCAGGAAGCAAATTAACAGTTACCCACAACAGCAAACTACGAAACGTTGACCCAGGAACTACCTGTTCCTATGCTGTTGTTGCATTATTAATGACAGAGGAGACGCAGAAGTTAAACTGATATTCTCCCACTGATTTTGGGGTAGCAAGGCATCTTTGTCACTCACCCTGCAACACAGCAGAATTATTTTGTTGCTTAATCTGTCACAACACAACTCAAATTCCGTATGACTATTAAGTGGCTTTTCAAGCCTCTGGTATAGAAAAAACCATGGAGCAAAACCAGAATTGAACCTTTTCCATTGCTTATAGCACAATCTCATCTGATAATTGGTCCTAATTTGTCAGCATAGAGACATGCTTAAGTTCTAAGTGGGAAGCAGGTGAGGAACAGCCTTTTCAGATCTTTTCCCTTCTCTTCAACATTATTCAAGTAATTTTGTCTCACAGCCATCTTTGCTTATCTTCTTCATATACAAGCATCTCTAAGTTATCAACATCCAGGTGGAAGACTCTCCATTAATCTTTACTTTTTTAATAGCTTTTCACATTTTACTGATTTTTTTTTTTAACCCTTAAACTCTATATGGTAAATCATCTATTTCTATGGCTTTTTCTCCACCCAAAAACTATCCAGTGCAACTACATTAATTTACTTCATAGTTTCAGCCTGTTGATGAAACCCATGTAAAGCCTTTCTTTATCATTGTGTCTGATTCACACACTAATCTATAGTGCCTCTATGCTGACATGATACTGGCTGCTTTGGTAAACCACTGGGTTGGTTGGTTGGGTTTTTTCCCCCCCCGCTTAATTTGAGAGGTTTTCTATGAATTTCTACACATCTTGAGCATTCAAGCTCACTTCCACACAGAAGTGCTTAAGAAAGAAAACCTTCCTTATAACTGTCAAGCAAAGAGGCTCCTCTTCATCCCATCTGAGGGAAATCAGGTTTCCTAATGCACCACATTAAATCTCTCATGTAAAATCTGTCAAAGAAATTCCATCCCATTATGCAGGAAAAATTCCATCGAGGAGGAACTGGCTTATCTGGTGTGAATAAAGGCTTCCAGAACTGGGACACTGCCAGGACGGTGTGGCTGAACAGGCGGCATTAACTGCAATTTCAGCTTCCATGTTGCTTCCTTACTTCTGTTTCCCCCGTCTCCTAACACATCTTATTTTCTGTCTCTAACAGGACTGTCGCATTTATTTCTGTTCCTTTCTCTCCATGTTAAATTCCCAGTTTCAGATCATGGCTCTTTTATCATCTCTCTTTAGCTTCTTCTCCCATCTTTTCCACTTTTCTATCCAAACGTGCTATTCTATTTAATTTTCATTTTGCTCCTCTGTTTCCGTCCATACTTGGTCTTGTACACTTGGCACCATTCACCACTCACATTTACTTCACTAGACTGACTCCTTTACGATGACCCAAATCTCATTCAATGATTTGACATTACAAATGGATTTATGTAGTAAAATGGAAGCTGCTATTTAAGAGATGGAGAAAGAACAAGTTTTTATATGATTTACCCTTGAAATCTCATTTTTTTTTTCTAATCTTTTTTATTGCAGCAGAGTTAAGTACGTTTGCGTGTATCCTTGATAATATACTAAATGTGATGGCAATCGTATAGACAAACAACTTCCATAATTTAATGAACAAGACTGATATCCACTCAACTTTTTTTTTAAGAGTTAATTTGATGTATTAGTTGCCTCAAAGAAACTGTACCATGGAGCTGCCTGACTGCTATTCTCTTAAGGAAATTCTGAACTTAATTGCAGCACCCTCACATGGTATCTCTTAAAAAGCAGTATCCCAAAAAGTGAGAACTTATATAAAAAACAGTAGATGAGCAAGTACAGTAAAATACTTCAGGAAATACATGGTATCATAAATATGGAAGAACTTTTATAGACAAATCTTTAATATACAAAGTTCTCAAGAATGGGGCCTTTCCATTTCATATACCTGAAGGTTTCTGATGACTGTAAATAGGGGCTTATCTATTTCACATTTAAATAAATATGAGTAAAATACTGTATATATGCAAGATAAAAAAAAAAAATCAGCCTACTGATGTAAAAAGACTTTGCAAAGAATTTATTAAATTATTTCTTAAAGTGTATCATTTAAATGTAAAGCTCTGAACAGTAAGGTGTACTGTATGTTTCTGTGTATATATATACTGTATATTAGAAAGTAAGCACTAGTTAAGTGCCATTAACAACAGTGTTATTTTCTCACAGAATTAAATTTAATATTTTAGTTGATCTATGGCTTATACCCTCTTGCTGAACCGCCAATTAAGTCAAATCAATTAACTAACAAAAATGTTGCTCTCTGCTTCTGCTTAAATTATTAACACAGCTAGCTCAAGACAGGTCCTTGTTGACTAACCTAGTAGAGGTCCTAGTTTCCAAAGTTTTCATTTGAGAATCAAATTGAGTTGGTCTCTGAAGACATAATTTCAGTTAATGAAAGAAAGTGATCAACCCCTAGAAAATTTCTGGTTGTATGAAAATGAAGCGATGTGGCCTTTGATATTATGTCAAAATACTACAGAAATGGACTTTCTGCAAAGCCTCACAAAGGAACTATTGACTTATAATAAATTCCCAATAAAAAGTGTTAAAATGTATCTGGTCAGTAAGATGTGTCTTTTTTTTTTGGCCGCCTTGATAAAAAAAAAACTATTGTAGACAAGGTTAAATCCGTATTGCTTCGCTGAATCAAAACATAACAAATTGTGTGACTTGGATGTCAAATCAGACATGTTAAGTTATCAGATTTTCCAGGCCATAATTTTGACATCATTAAAATCTCATTATTCATCAGCATGAAGTTAGCTGGGAATGAAAGCAAAGAGACACACACCCCCAACTCTTTTCAGCATAAAGAATCCTGCAACTAATAGGATGGAGTAACACTGCACCACAGAAATACAAGGCTGGTGATTAATGCATACATCGGCCATGTCCTTGTCACTTCCTCTCCTTTGTGCTGCCACAAATGAGATCTCGGAAATCAGCTCCCTGCAGAAATTCTCTTGGTTCCCAGAAAAACATAATATAATAACCCATACCTTTGGCATCTCGAAGAAAATTTAGCTCTAGGAGTATAATGTACCTCATAATACATTCATTGCAGTAACCACTGCATATAACCAAAAAATCACTCGCCATGGAACAGTTAGTTTACCCCACATATATGAAAATAGTTTCCTGGTTATACTTTCAAAATTAGTAATTTGTTCCCTTTAAGTTTTCTGTAAAGTGTAGGAAGACAGCAAGTAAAAGCATACTCTATTTAAAATGGTTATTAGTGATTTCCTTAAAGGAAAAAAAAAAAAACAAACCAACTTGGTCCAAGGCACTCCTGAGTGTTAAGTCTCAGTGAGAAATAAATGAAAGCGGCAACTGTGAAAATGGAAGTTGCAATATTAGATCATTTAGTCAAAGCTTAGTACCCGACAAGATGCCCTTACTTCCATACAATGGTTTAAAGAGTATTTTCTGTTACTCTAATTGGAGAGCCAGCATCTCTAAACAAACACAGAGTAGTGATTTTCTGATGCTTCATTCATCAGAGCTTAAAGATATAACCATCACACATAAAAAGGCTATGTTTCTCATCTGGATTAGTAAAATCCCTTTTATACAACACAGACTTGAAGGATCTTAAGTGATAACAGAGTGAGTTGATAAGCAGCAAGTTAACAAGCCTACAGGTTTGCAAAGGGTGAACTTCTACATAAATGCAAGTAAAAAGAGCTGATCAGGTACAACCAAGTCAATAGGTTTACACTAGTACAAACCAGGCCAACATGGCATCAGAATCTGCTCTTTTCTGTCAAAACAAAGAGATTTCACTGAAGACAACCACGTTGTGGAGCAGTGACAGAAAATATGCAATTAACTATCATATAATAGGAAAATAGGCCCCAAGGTTGCCAAGAAAATATGACAATGCTACCAGAAAACTCAAAGGAAAGTAACACTTTTCTTTTTTAAACTAAGATTCAATTAAATTGTTTTTGTGCTATGTATAAGTACATAGCATGATGTACTTGATGCATAAGTAATGAGCATTTATCATTGCTCATTAAAAATGAAAGCAGTGCAGTGCTCAGGCTGGAGACCTTCTCATGAAGGTCTCATGAGCTTTAATGCAGCAGCACAGGACTGGTAAGAGAAAACAAAAGCAGAATCTGGCCAAGTGCTGCTCTCAGTTCTGCTGTTAGCTGAGGACTTTGAGAAGTACTGACTTTTGCTTAAGTTTCTGCAGCTGTAAAGTGCTCAACGCACTGATGAATCCAAAACACATGCTCTAAGACTAATTTTTGCAGTTTCTTGGTAAGCGAAACCTTGTGTATTTCTTAACTATCTCATGCACTACTTTTTCCAAGTGAAAGCAATCTAAACATACAAAACCAGCTGTGCAGACTGCCATGGCAACAAATTTGAAGTGTGAAATGTTTCCTCTGTTGTATTTCCTTTAGCTTTCCATTATATATCAAAACACTTTGACATATGCTGAATACATTCTTTTTCCATCAGGAGAGAAGAGGATTTATTATCTACTTTGTCATTCCACTTTCTTCCCACCAAGTCCTTTCCTTGGAAGTCCACGTAATTTCCTTATATTCCTTCCTTCTAAAGAACTGGCACTTTCAATTACATTCACAAGAATGGTCAAAATTATTCACAGTCTACAGCAGGCAGAATCCTTATGTTATTACAAATCATGACAGTAAAAGATTTTTAAAACACCAGATTCTTATCAGAGTAGTTATGAATTAAATATACAAATATATTTAAAAAAAAATACTTTCTACCAAAAGTTCTGTAAAACAAACAAAATTTATAACCAGAAAGAGAATCAATTTTATGTAGTTTAAAAGTACTTGATGATGCATTATATGAAAAGATAAATAAGCAGCATAAACGCTCCCAACTCAGACCTGGAGAGAACACTAGTAAGAAAAGAAAGAGAAACAAATTTACAATTAGACACATCCTGCAGGAACTGTACCTGCAAGTATACTGCCCAACAGTGGGAATAATTCTGCTATAAAAAAGCAGAGAAGGTGCTCAACTCTGGATAAAGTTAACCTTCAAAAACACAGAATTAATCTCCTAAATTAAAGTGGTTTTATCACAAATCTCACTGATACCAATAGGAAGTTCTATGTATTACTGTGGTGGGTTGACCCTGGCTGGACGCCAGGTGCCCACCAAGCCA